ACAACGGAGGAGCAAAACCACCCAACAGGGGACCTAGTAAAGTGTGGGATCCCAACGTTTAGTATAATCATTTTTACCTACTTTTGGGTATAACTAACTTACTTTTGGGTAGAAAGCTAGTGGAAAATTCCATACGAATTGCACACAAGTAAATGAAAAAAACTTTGACCCGCTTTACCTACTTTTGGATTCCTGCACTATAGCGCCAAGATGAGTGAAAAGAACTCACTTTTGGGTACTTTTTTCTTACCGTGTAAGGTTTACTTCTTCGTTTACTTCAAAGTAAGGGGAAAAAGGATTTTTTGTCAGTGCTATTGTCCGCAATCGTAATATTTTTTCCTTTGGTTTAACAACAGCAAAAACGGTTATCTTCCATTTAATTCCACTTAATTAATTTTGGTATCCATGACAGATACGTATTTCGACTACAATGTGCAGTCTTCATCAGTGTCATTGAGTGGGAATGACACTGATGAAGACTGCACATTGTAGTCGAAATACGTATCTGTCATGGATACCAAAATTAATTAAGTGGAACTAAATGGAAGATAACCTTTTTTGCTGTTGTTATTTAGCATTCTGCTAACAACCCAATTTCATTACTTCATTTCTTTGGTTTGTTTTCCGTCGATCTTGTTTTCCGTGCTGAGCACCAATGCTACCGACGCGCCAGGAAGGCAACTCCCACACCTGGACTCTACCTATCGACCCATCAACTCATGAACCGGGGACCAACGGCTTTACTTCCCTTCCAAAGGAAGGCGTGATCAAAGATGTTATGCCTCAGAACATCCCGGCGGGGCCAACTGGGATTGAATCCAGGCCTGCTGAGGTGAGAGGTAAACACGTTTACCACTACACTACCGGCGCCATTCAATCGTAATAAGAGATTGTATAATTGACGAGACTCTCTTTGTCCTTATGCCTTCTGGAGGATGAACCTCTACAGAAAGTCCACACGGCTTTTGAGGCTCTAAACCATTTGGTGGATTATTTTAACTTTTGGTTAAAATTTGACAGATGAAAAGTTATCGATTTACCCTGCTATCCGAGCGTGGTTACTTCTGACAGACTAGAAGTTAAATTTTGACAACCTTGGCTAAGTTCTTCTCGAAAACCGGTCGATCGACAGCACAGGGATTTTCGAACATAGAAAATAACTTTCGAAATGTCATTTTTAACCACGAGTTAAATTTAACTCGGCAAATGGTTCACAGCTTGAGAGATGTCCATAGTTTCAGGGAAGCAAATACTCATTTCAGCTAAAATAATGTTTTTCGGAATAATAAAACCAAAAGATGGTAAAGGGTGATACGGTCAAAATTTGGTCAAGGGAAAACGCGTGTAAATCGGTGAAATCGTTTATTTAAAACATAAAATTAAATTTCTTTTTCAAGTTCAATTAGTATAAAATTCAGGAAAAATATTCAGTTAGGCTTCCGCTTTTCGAAATCCGAATTGCCGGGTCTTACGCTTGACCCCTGCCATAAGATTTTGTACAGCCACCTTGTCCACCTTCTTCGCCGCAGAAAGCCAGTTTGCCTTGAACTGCTGCTCGCCCTTAGCAGTTTTTTTGGTCTTCTTTAGGTTCCGCTTGACAATAGCCCAGTATTTCTCAATTGGGCGGAGCTCTGGCGTGTTGGGAGGGTTTCTTGTCCTTGGGAACCACCTGCACGTTGTTGGCGGCGTACCACTCCATGGCCTTTTTACCGTAATGGCAAGATGCCAAATCCGGCCAAAACAGTACGGAACAACCGTGTTTCTTCAGGAAAGGCAGCAGACGTTTATTCAAACACTCTTTCACGTAAATTTCTTGGTTGACAGTCCCGGAAGCTATGAAAATGCTGCTTTTCAAGCCACAGGTACAGATGGCTTGCCAAACCAGATATTTCTTTGCGAACTTTGACAGTTTCATGTGCTTGAAAACATCTACTACCTTTCCCCTTCCTTTTGCCGTATAAAACTCCTGTCCCGGAAGCTGCTTGTAGTCGGCTTTGACGTAGGTTTCGTCGTCCATTACCACGCAGTCAAACTTCGTCAGCATCGTCGTGTACAGCCTCCGGGATCGTGCTTTGGCCGTCGTATTTTGTTTATCATCGCGATTTGGAGTCACTACCTTCTTGTAAGTCGATAGTCCGGCTCGTTTTTTGGCTCGATGCACGGTTGTAGACGATACACCCAGCTTATTTGCGGCATCTCGGAGAGAGAGGTTAGGGTTTCGCTTGAAACTACCGGCAACTCTCTTTGTCGTCTCAGCGGCTTCCGGTTTTCGATTTCCCCCCGATTTCCAGACTTCCTGGCTGTCGACATACGTTCCCCAAACACTTTAATTACATTTGTAACGGTTGATTTGGCAACTTTTAGCGATTTTGCCAACTTTGCGTGCGAGTAGCTCGGATTTTCGCGATGCGCGAGCAAAATTTTGATACGCTGCTCTTCTTGCTTGGACGGCATTTTGACAACTGAAGAGTGAATTCCAAAATCAAAATAGGAGCAACATTCTACACACACACACCTTCAAAATGAGGGGTGTTCAGGTTTTTTAAATGCAAAATTGAAAGAAATACGTCAAGTTGATATTGACCAAATTTTGACCGTATCACCCTTTATGATGACATGTTTTACTTGTAACCTACAAGAAGAGGTTACAAAGTATGCGTTTGAAACATAAAACCTGTAAATGTCGCTTTATATGAGTCACAATCAGCGATTTGATGATCGCTGAGTGAGTGAGTGAGTGAGTTTGTGAGTGAGTGAATGTGTGAAAAATCGCTGATTGTGACTCTCATGAAGTGAAATAAACAGGTTTAATATGTCAAACAAATTCTTTGCAACCTCTTCTTGTATCTTACCTATTCAAAATATGAGCATAGCATCTAATTATTTCATAATAATTAAAAAAAACATTGTTTTAGCTGATATGAGTATTTGCAACCTGGCACTGCAGAATGGGCCAGAATTAACTAGAATTAAGTATTAACTTGATGGCCATAGGATCCGGACCGAGAGTCAATTGTATGGGTAAGGAACATTGCAGCGTTAATGTACGGTGTTACCAATACCCCGGTTCCGAACGATCCCACCATTCTTTAGATGTATCTGCAATCGCAGCTGTTTCTCCGAATTTAGTACCTAACCACGACTGCTGACACTGGGAAGCCACAGCAGGTCTATTGCTGCTACTACTACCGCCGGTGGGCATTTTAGGTCGAGTCATTCCTATTTTTCAGATTGTAGTATTGCTTGAGTACCATAATGATATTGCAGGCAAGATTCATCTTCCACTTGCCAGTGGGGTACTTGGCTTCGGAAAATGTTTGCCAGAATGACGCACGATAGAGAACTGTCTGCTCCTGGATGGACTACTTCTGCCATCAGTCACCCTTCTCCTTCTCGCAGAGGGGCTAATCTTCGAGTGCCACTTCCTTGAAGCGGATGACCATCAACCAGCTCGTTGAATATTATTTAGCGATTAAGTTTCACGATTTTTTTCCGTCCTTGACTTGAAAATGTAAACACACAATCTCAAAAGTCATAAGTGCACGGTTGCCAAACTCATGGCTTACTGAGACTGATATCTTGATTGCCACACGCCTAGCTTTCGGCACAGATAAAGTACTCGGCAGTGCCGAGTCGGCACAGATTGGGATTTGCAGAGTTTAACACCTCTTGGCTTCTATCTCTTTCAGGAAAAATATAAGGTTTTTCATGTTATTCATATCAATGATATCAAATATCATGATCAATTTTCGAAATTGTAGAATCAACTTAATTTATGCCAAGTTTTTTAGCTGTGCAATGGCAAGCAATGGGCCAAACAAGCCGAAAACTGCAACTCAAGGCAACAGTTTCTCGGTGGGAAATGCAGATGTAAGTTCTATATTTCATTAGAACTACGAACTCAATTGAAACAATGTTTGTTAACAAGCAACCACCAAGGGGGCCCATTTTGTAATATTCGGCAATATAAGACCATGATCTCCAATTTCGCAAGCTGGAAATCATCTCTGCTACAACTTTGCTGAAGAGCATAGGGGAAATGGATGTCATTCAGCAATCGACTAAAATTTCAATAGCTACCAAACATATCCATTAGTACCGACAAAATGACGCGTTCATCTAGATAAAATTGATAAATGGCAGATTTTTAGCGATAGGCCCAATCTTAGATCCATTGACCAACATTAGAGCCGTTTCCCCTACGTCTTTAATTTCAAAAAGTATTTTTTTATCTATATCAATAAATTGAAATCACCTTGATTTAAAACAAAAACGGCCACAAGAAGAAACTTTTAAAACTAAAAAAACTGCACAGAAGTCATTCTAAACTTAAGACTAAAGCAAAAGGACTTATTTCTTGCTAAATTACCATCCTGGACCACTGTGCAATGTCCCTTGATAATTTTGGATAAAATGCCAAAAAAAACGCGGTCGAGATCTCCAGAAAATGTCATGCAAAATGATTACAATATATATTTTTCGAACTATTCCCGAAGTTTTCGTTCAGATGCATTTAATGAAGGAAAATTGTCGAATTTAAATTAGGTTTTTTCGGAATTATAGAAGTTCTTCGGTTAATACTTTATTTCAAACTGTACCCATCTCTGGTGTTCACTTCCTTATACTTTTGATTAGAAAATAATCAACTCTATCTGTGTTGAAATCTCCAAAGCCAGTACTGGCATAACGGGGAGCCCAGCAAATTTCATTGGTAAGTTTAGCAGACTTGAGGTCAGAATCCTGTGATGACCTCAAAAATTGTTCAGCAGAGTTATATCAATCTGTCAATTTCATCCCAAACATTCAAACAGCGAAACAAAGACATTTTTAATGATATGATTTTTGTAGGCAGCGTTGTTTAAATAAAAAAATTTGCTTTCTCCTTCATAATAATCGCATCTACTTTGACTGACCAAAAAATACCAACAGTTATTTCATCCAACATAACAATTTTGTTCTATAATAAAATTAAGTAATATTTTGTCCTTCTTTACTTCCAGATCACGTCACTCGTTCTCGGTAATCTGCTACTGCTCGCCACAAGGATCGCTGCAGAAATACCCACACAGGCATTCAACGGCTACAACTACCCAAAACCATCGGTTCCATTCAATCACGGCTATGTCTACAGCACACCAAGCTGCCCACTGAGCCTACCAAGCACAAGCTACGTCACCGTCGCGGTAACGGAAACCCGAATTGTAATGACAACCCTGCCGCCAGTGATCTCCACGGATTTTGTCACTCTTCCTCCGCTGACCGAATACCTCACGCAAACGCAGACGCAAGTGCAGACCCTCACCTTAACCTCCACCGACTATCTCACCTCCACCACAACCGAATTCCGAATTCAACCAACCACCGTCACCTCGTACATCACATCGTCCTACTGTGCACCGAGCACCTACTTACCTCCGGTACCTCCGACCAACACTTACCTCCCGGCAGCCACTCCTCCTCCTACCCCCTCAAACGTGTACCTCCCGGTGAACCAACCACGGCAGCAGCCTCAATACGTTGAGCAAACGACCCCCAACTCGTTCCTTCAGAGTTTCGGCTTTGCCCAGGCAGGACCCATCAAGCGGATGGCCAACGACATCGAGGCCAACTCACTGGACGAACCCCTAGGACAGAACAATGACCAATCTTCATCGAGCAGCGAGCAGTCGCAGGCAAACATCGCCGCACCACCGACGACGTCAAATCCTCCACCAGCAATCAACATAATCTACCTGGACCGTGGTGAATCCGCTGCTGGTGGCAACGCGACTGCGCCACCAGCTGACCTTATGAACTGGTTGCTCTGCCGGTTCAGCCTAGTCAGTAAGACCTGCCTCAACTGAAAAGGGGAAGCTCGGCCACTGACAGTGACGACGGTTATGCGCTCAGAATGCGGATAAGAGGTGTAATAAAAAGATACTTAGTGATATAATTCCGTGAGTGATGATGATGATGATGACAATGAGATTCGATCGAAATAAGAGGAAGAAGCTTAAAAGTTTGTTTTAGTTTGCATATATCACATTCCGAGCTGGAGTAGCTTTCGGCCTGCGTGCATCAAGATTGGTGTTTTCTGTGATGGCATGATGGGATCTGTTTTGTTAATCTGAGCTGCAAAAGGGTAGTGTTATTTCGTGGTTATGTCATTGATTTGGATGCCTTTTAGGTTGAGAATTATAAGTCATCATTATCTTCTTCTCTTGCGTTCATTCGTCCCTGTTGGGACTTTATACCAGCCTCAACTTAGCACAGTTTTCAATAGAGCACCCCTTTCCTTCTAGTACTTTGATCGATTCTCTTCATCGACTTTCTCTTTTATTAATAATTCAGCTGCAAGCAAACACATTCCTTGATTCGTGTGCCATTCTGGATGCTAGATGAGAACCTCCTTTATCAAACTATGTCGCAGAAATAGCGCAAAATCTATTAATAAAGCTGTGGCTATCAAAAGAGAAAGTCGATGAAGAGAATCGATCAAAGTCACTTATACCCTTTCCTTCTAACCCCCTCAATTGAGACCTTCCATTGGAACAGTCAGAACAATTTAATGATTATTTTGCCGACAGTGTTTCATTGATTAATCGGTCCATTGAATTTTCCGATGAACCTGATGAAATAAAACAGCTGGTTAAAAGTAGTTGTAGATTTAAAGGTTTTCATCCAATTAGATTACATGAACTTAGACTTATTTGCTTTCATTAGACTAATCGGCTGGAGTAGATAATGTTAATGTAAGAGTTATTCAACACTGACTGCTGTCATGTCATTGGCCACAACTTTCTGGACCTTATTGATGAATCATTGCATGTGCCACAAATTTGGAAGGAATCCTTAGTGGTTCCTATTCAAAAAGTTGCTGGAGCGATTAAAGCCGAAGAGTTTCGTCCCATCAACATGATGCACACACTAGATAAAATTTTAGAACTTCTTGTGAAAGGCCAGCTGTTTGAGTATTTGAGTAGCAATTCTTTGTGGATTCCAAAACAATCAGGATATCGGGAAGGTCATTCTTATGAAACCGCGTTGAATTTGGTGTTAGTAAAAAGGAAAGACAACTTGGAGCGTAAAGACACGACGGCTGCTGTTTTTCTGGATCTGTAACACGCTTTTGAAACAATTCAATCAAGTGGTTTGGAATTACGAGTACTGCATATAAATGGGTTGAAAGCTATTTATCAGACAAAACTTTTTTTATATAATTTTGTTTTCAGTCCCATGGGGATTAACCTTGGAGAGCCCAAGGGAAGTGTATTAGCGCCCCTTTTATTTATTGTGTATATTAATGATTTGCGACGTTTTTTTTACGATTTTGCGACATTAATCTTATTGCAGATGATACTGTGTTATTTATTGCAGATAAGGATTTAGATGATCAGCCGGCGCCGGTGGTGTAGTGGTAAGCGTGACTGCTTTCTCACCCCAATGAGCCTGGGTTCAATCCCAGCCGAGGTCGGTGAGATTTTTCTGAGGCATAAAAATCTCTGGTCACGTCTTCTTCCGGAAGGGAAGTAAAGCCGTTGGTCCCGGCCCATGTGTGTTTGAATGGGTACGATATCCTACGCAGGTGTGGTAGCTGCCTTCCTGCACATTCGATTGCCGTCAATGGATGGCAATCGATGTCCGTCGGTGATTGGCACTAGATTGCGGAACAAAGACCAACGTTAAATAAAGGAAAAGAATGATTTAGATGATGCCGTTTTACACTTGAATGAAGATTTGCGTTCTCTAAGTAGATGGTTGAAGTATGAGCAGTTTAAATTGAATACAAGTAAAACTAAACGTATGGTAATTTCGCGGAATCTACACACTTAGAAAACCGAATTCTCAACAGCTGAACGGTCGGTAATGTTTTCGGTAATCGAGAACATTACCGAAAAATCTGTAAACTAGATCAGCAAAATTAGCTGTCAAATTTACCGAACGATCGGTAACGTTTACCGCTGTGCATTGCTTGATTTGTAGTCGACTTTACCGGAGAACTATAATTTTGAGGACGATATGCAACTCGAAAATTACCTAGAGATCTGTAATGTTTAGAAAAGGTAACCGACTCAGCTGTAATTTGCTTTAATATTGTTTCAAGGTGGCGGTCACTGCAACCCATGCAAACATTTGGCTGCAGTCTTGATCAATGTGTTAGTGTTGCAAATTGCTCCACCAATGTACAAAAACAAGTTTTTGTTGGAAGGACTAGGCGCTACACTGAAAACAGGAAAGCATTGGATGAAGATTCCTAATGCTGTTTTCAAATCGTCGCCAACGGGAATGGAACTTGGACCGACAGAAAAAAAAACAAGGAACAACATCGGCCATCTGTAATCCGTATTTATTTAGATAACGGAAAATATCTACGATTCGCTCATCTTGGTGTTGCATAACTGTCTGTTTTTAATGATTCTGTTTCCAGTCCCGTGGGGAACAACCTTGGAGTGCCCCAGGCAAGTGTATTAGGGCCCCTTTTATTTATTATGTATATTAATGACTTGCGACGTGTTTTACGGTTTTGCGACATTAATCTTTTTGCAGAAGATACTGTGTTATTCATTGCAGCTAAGGATTTCTAAGTTGCCGTCTCACACTTGAATGAAGATTTGCAGTATCTAAGTAGATGGTTGAAGTGTTAGCAGTTAAAATTGAAAACAAGTAAAACTAAATTTATGGTAATTTCGCGGAATCGATTAAATGGGAACGTCTCTGTTGTAATTGATGATGAGACTATTGGGGGGAATTTATATCTGTAACTGAAACCAGTTCGATTTTGTTTGCCAACCTGGTTAAAATGTCATATTTAATTATCTTAAAGATTAATCGGCCAGCTCAAACCTTTGTAGGGGTAAGAGGTGGGACCATCATCAGAATCATCAATAACAGCCTCCATAATTTCACCTTTTATTTTTCACAAGAACTAACGCTTTTAAAGTCGATCGAAAATAACAATATGGTGGATTTGACGTTTACCGAGAACGTTAACGAACTCAGTAATGGAACACTTTGTTTACCGAAACTTCAATAAAATATTTCACCGAAGTCAGTGATGAAGCTGATTTATAGACCTGCCGGTAAAAATGTTTACCGTTTTCGTTAAATTAAAATTAAACTACTGATATTCGGTCATTTCATTTACAGTTTTCAGCAATAAAGCGAGAAAATACCGAAACATCTGTAAATTTTAGAATTACCAATCTAAGACGGTAGTTTTTTTACCGAACTCAGGATCTCTGTTTAATTGTGTAGTAAATGAGAACGTCTCAGTTGTAATTGATGATGAGGCTTTTGATCGCGTTCGGGAGTATAAGTATCTTGGCATGATTAGTTATAACAAACTTAAGTTCAACTCTCACATTGACAATGTTATCAAGAAAATTTTCAAGAAGTGTGGAATTCTGGACAACAAAAACGATTTACCAATTACCAGTAAAATACAGCTTTCGTGCACGCATCAATAATATTTACTTTTTTTTAAGAAAAAAAAAACCAGGTAATCATGACAGGGAGCGGGCACTTTTTTGATTGCCAGTCTTTGAATAGAACTTTGACAACTATGATTAGAAAAAGATGGCTTCGCGCAAATGGTTAAAAACTTCTAAAACATATGTGTTGAGGTTTAAATCTAATTTATCTATTATTTTGATTTATGGTAATTTGTACCAGCTATTTTGGAAGGACGGTAAGGCAAGGTGCATTGAATGAATAGCCGAACTTTGAGTGCTAGAAATGGGTGGATGTCGAAATCCACTGAAGCTAAATGAAGTATGGGTGATTCTGCCAGCGGTACACAAATTTCCGTAAACTTAACGAACTTTATTAACAGTTGTTAAATTTTCCCTGTAAGTTAAAATTAGGTTAGACATTTTTAAGCTTGACTACACTGAACCAATACGACATATTCCTGTTGTGTGGAAGTCTAATAAATTTGCGCTATTAGATAATCCAATGAAAATGATGTGATTGAAAATGTGCCAGGAAAATTCTATATGAATATCTGATACATTCACAGTGCTGATAATTTGGTAACTTTTATATGATCGTCATATGATAAATGAAAATCGGTCAAATTATAATAATTAACTGAAATGGATTTGAATCCCATAAGCATAAGCTTTACATTTCACCACAATATAATATATGTGTCATAAATCAATCAAAGTAAAGTTTATGTGAAAATCACATGAAATTTACTTCTTCTTTTGACACATATATTTAATCGATATCTAAAAATAAATAACACAGTTGTGTCTTTTTTATTGTAGCTGATTTGGGATTCGATCAAGATCTGTTGCGGTGTGATGCTTCGGTGTCTGCGCTCGGTTCCACTGGGCCACGGCTGACTTCAAGATTGAGCTCGTTCAATTAGCATGAAGTAAGAACTGCTCTCCTGACATGGAATGTAGTGCAACGTTATGCTCGTTTTGCTAGAGTGAAGAAAAATAGCACTGACAAAGTTCGGGGTGTCGTGTATTCAAATCTTTCTTAATGCTCCTGTGTGCAATAAAACAACGACTACATTATATGAGTTCATGGAACTGGTTCATGAAGTTCGAGTACTAGTACTGGAACCTGAATTAGCCGTGCATACTGAGATTTTGTTTCCGTGTTCGGTCAATTTTACCGAAATCAGAACAACTGAACATTCGGTAAAACTTTGACCTTCATTTTAAAGGCAATTGAATTTGAAAATAGTAGTCATTTTAGTATAGTTTCAGTTTAAAGTAGCTTTTACCGAACAGTTGGGCTGTCCAGATTTCGGTAAAAATTTTCGAAGTTGGCGATAATTTCTAAGTGTGTGTAGAAGGCTTACAATTAGAATCTTAGCAAAGTAAATATTGCAGTAGAATCATTTTTT